AGGATTTAAATTCTATTTTTAATTTTTACCCTCATGGCCCTTTTTGGACGGTTCAATCAGTTTTCCATTTTAATAAGGGCTTCACAGCTCGGCTTACTTCCAGCAGAGGGAGGTATTGGCCAACAAATGGAGACAGTTTCTTACCGTTTCATTGCTCTCAACCCATGACCCTGTTTAAATGACAGATTATTTTAATCTACCTTTTTATTTCTTTGCAAAAAATACTACTAAGAAGCAAACTTATAATGATTCATTGCTGATTTTTTTAGATAAAAGAGAAGAAAATGGGTAGAACACCCAGTTATCTGAGTAATTGCATAACAGTCTTGATGTGCTTATCTTTCTCTGGGATCGACCCAAATCGGCTATAAGCCACAAAGGGAGAGAACAAAGAGTCAGCTAATGTCCCGATCACTGCCGGTCACATCCCCGAGACGTGACTTACCCCACTTTTACAGAGTGTACCGATTCTTCAAACATTTTCCCTTTTTTTTTTAGCCTTTTTGCTCTTTAAGCCCCTCGCAGGGAGCTTCCCAGTTTCTGCTGCAGAGCCAAACGGGGGAAAAAAAAGAAGCTAATTTTGAATTTCGAGGCATGAAAAGCTTTGCGGAGCATTCGAGAGCCCTGCGTGTCATCAGCCAGGCCTGGATTATCCGTGCAAATGCACTTGATTAAAATTGTAATGTGCCAAGATTAAAATTTCACTCCTGTTTCTGATTGAAAAGAGCTCAGTTTCACAACTTCCAGAGAGCAAATTGTGGGGCTAATTTAATTACGTCGGAAGGTCAAGACGTGAGGATCTCTGTGGAGTTGAAAACCTGATGGCACTGGCATCAGTTATCAGCCTTATCATCTCTGTCTGGCCATAAGTGCTCATCATTTTCCTTCAATCAAACTGATCATAATCGCAGCTTTACTGGGAGCTGTTAATGTTTTACCGAAGGCGTTATTGAGATGCTCGCGGTTTAAAAAAGGGGGCATCCTGGATGTGGCACAAATGGCAATTTATTTTACCCTTTAAAGGGTAAATCAATAAGACTTGCTGTGGGCAGAGAACTGTCACGGTACCTGTCACCTGGGCTTTAAACTGTCCTTCGTGTTGCACGTCAAGCCGTATATCAGCAAGAACATGAGATCTGGGTTTTTACTGCTGCGGGTTAAGGTCAGCTTTCATAAATTTCTCTCTCTATAGTTGAAACCCTTAATTTAATTTCATCAAATCAAATAACCCCATAATTCATAGATTCATCTTACACAGAGTGACACTTTGCAAAGATTTCATTTTCTCATTGGGTCTCAGAAACATAGAAAATCACATCAGATCCTTAAGATATTTACATAAAGAACAGAGCGGAACAGAGTGTGGATGTACGTAAAGAATCTGCACTCAGAATCTGCTCTGGGCTCCTTTTGCTGAAATTGGGCATTCAGGAAACCCAGCTCGCTTTGATTCTGATGCCTCCTCTTCCTCTAGACAATGGTCCATTTGGGTCAGCCCAGCTTCCTGGTGATACCATGGTGTGTAAAGCAGGTACTGGTACAGTACTAGCCTTTCAAAATGTCCCCACTTTTCTTCATGGGCCCTTGATT